GAGGAGCCAGAGGGCGGGGCCAGAACATCGGGGCGGAGCTGGGGCGGGGACAGGCTCTCGGGGAGGAGCCAGAGGGCGGGGAGAAAGTCTCGGGGAGGAGCCAGAAGGCGGGGAGAGAATACCGGGGAAGAGGTGGAGGGCGGGGCCAGGACCTCGGGGAGGAGCTAGAGGGCGGGGCCGGAACCTCGGGGAGGAGCTAGAGGGCGGGGCCGGAACCTCGGGGAGGAGCTAGAGGGCGGGGCCGGAACCTCGGGGAGGAGCTGGGGGTGGGTAGAAGACATCGCGAAGAGCTAGAAGATGGAGATTAAAATCTGGGGCAGCCGGGCTCGGTGGCTCGGCCTGTAATCCCGCGCCTTTGGGAGGCAGAGGTGAATGGATGGCCTGAGCCCGCGGGTTCGAGACCCGCCCGGGCAACTTGGCGAGACTGCATCTCCACAATAAATCAAAAATTAGCCGGGCGTGGGAGCGGCGCCTGTAGTTCCAGCTCCTTGGAAGGTGAGGCGGAAGGTGAAACGGAAGGATCGCCGGAGCCCAGCAGGTCGAGGCTGCGGTGGCCGGGGGCGGCCACTGCACTCCAGTCTGGGCGACAGAGTGAGATTCCATCTCAAAAACAACAACAGCAACAACAACAACAAAAAACTTGGGGAAGGCTAGAGGGCGGGGAGAAAATGTCCCGGGGAAACTAGGGTATTTGGGATTAGAATGTCGGGAAGGCTGATGAGGGGGTTAGAATTTCAGAATAAACTAGTGGGCAGACAGAGGCTATGGAAGGTAGAACCTGGAGGTGGGAGTGGGCGGTTAGTTCCATCAGGGCATTGGGAGTGGAGGTATAACGTACAGATCTACTGGGTAGGGTACGGGTAGAGGGCCCCAAGCAGAGCTTGAGAGGTGGAATCTACTGAGGGTCGGTGGGGTGAGGGCAAGAACATAAACGGGAGCAGAGATAGAACGTCCTGATGGACCGGGCGGGATCGGGACTTTAAGGACAGACCCCACGCGAGGACAGAATTAAAGGGAAAACGGGCCAGGGCGGGGCACTGGGTAAGGGCTTGCGGGGGGGATGCAGAGTTCGGGTAGGGGTAGACTGACGGCCCTGCTGGCTGGAACCCAGCAGAACGTGGGGCAGGAGCCTGAGTGGACCTGGCCTGGAGACTTGGTCCTGGCATTGGGGCATGAGGGGGCGAGAGGCAGATCCTGGCACTGAGCTTAAGTACCTCTCCTCCTCCCCCTTCTCCTCCGCCCAGGCTCCTGGGGCCTGCGTTGCTTGCGGTGTGAGAGAAGCGGCCATTGCCAGGTGGAAGAGTGCGCCCCAGGCCAGGACCGCTGCAGGACCACAACCCTGCGCATATGGGAAGGTGAGCTCCCCTACTCCAGTGACGAGGAGCACGAGTGACCAAGAAGCCTTCCCTCACTAGTAATCGGAGAAATGCAGACTTAAAAAAAAAAATAATAGGCCGGGCTCCGTGGCTCAGCCTATAAACCCCGGCCTTTGGGAGGCTGAGGTGAGTGGATTGCCTGAGCCCGCGGGTTCGAGACCCGC